TCTATCTATCTATCTATCTATCTATCTATCTATCTATCTATCTATCTATCTATCTATCTATCTATCTATCTATCTATCTATCTATCTATCTACCGCCTTTTTTACACCGAGTTCCCAGATGTGAGTGACGTGCAGGTGACGAGAGGAGCTGAGGTGTCAAGTGACAACCATCTGCTAGAGTGTAGTATCAGGTGGCAGTGCTGCCAGGCCTGGTTAAGGGAAACATTTAGTGAGAGTATGCTAGGAACATCTGGTGAGAAAACTGCTCAGAACTCCTCCGTTTGGAAATGTTTGGCCACTTTTCTGCACAAAGGCTTATTTAAAACATTAAATTATGGTAAATGGCCTGTATTTATCACTTTTACTAGTCCCTAAGGACCCCAAAGCACTTTACACATCCAGTCATCCACACACTGGTGATGGCAAGCTACATTGTAGCCACAGCCACCCTGGGGCACACTGACAGAGGTGTATCTATGCTTTGATTTGGTTTAAATATTTAAGATAGTCTATTTACTTTTAAATCTTAGGCTGTATATCCAAATTTAATACAACATAACTGTAATTAAGGGTTTACAAGAACTATGAGCCAAAATCTACCCAGCCTTCTTCCTCTGGTGCTGGCTCCAGTGCAGGAATATGCTCCTAATGCTGACTCCTGCTGTGGTTGCAGAACAATCAAAAACCAATCTCCAACCAGTCTCAATAAATATTTTTTGGAATAGCAATTGATTGCAAGGCTGTACGTTTGATGAAAGGTGCTGATGAAAGTACTTCATCGGATGACTTTCATCTTGCATTTAAAGATTCCTCAAACCAATCAACCAAACAAATTGCCTCAGAAAAAAAATCTCAAAACTGACCACAGTGGTCATTTAATTTCTCATCCAGTGGATGGAACAGATTTCAAGGTAGAAAGGAACACTTTTGCAACTTGATGAGAATTACATGCAGACACTGAGTGCAGTCTGATAAAAAGTGAAAAAAGCAAGAGTCTTTATTAACCTCGGCAGATTTTTTTCATATTAAACAAACTCGCACAACAAAACATCCCTACATCATGACAGGAGGAGCTCTATGCTAACAGCACAGCATACAATCAGACACAGAAGTAGTTGTCAGCAGAGAGCAACTTAAATATGCCAAGAAATTTGAGTGTAAAATAAAATAAATAGAAATAAGAAGGCAGAAAATTCTAAGGCTAAGCAGAACTATTGCTGAAGAGATGAAGGGGAACTGTCAAACTGAGCTTTTTTTGTGTGAAAGAAGGGTAAAAGTGCTGTATTTCTCTCAAGAGTAGGCGGACAGACTGGACCAAATACTGACTTTAAGGTAAGGCATCTGAACTGTAAGTAATTTACTCGGTTTTTTTTTTATTTGTATTGACATCGATGTGTAAATGGTAATGTGAAAAGCTGTTTTCACTGATATGTGTGATGAACCTTCAGTTAGATTCGACATCGAATCTAATTATATTTATAATTTAAATTATAAATAGAAAAACTAAAGTCAAAGAGTAAAATAAATAGTCTACAAACACACCACAGAGTGGCTCATGTCCTAATGGATTACAACCTTCAAAATACTGACAGTCATCAATACTACACGATGCACTAAGCTACAGTTGTACTGTAATCAGATGTAATTACTGTCCTGACTGTCTTTACTACTCGCTTGAGAAACATCAGCAAAAAGGCTCTTCTCCCCTTTCTGTTTCTCCTTAACAACACTGAATCAAAATCTACTGTACAGCAAAAACCCAGCAGGTGAACAGAAAGGTGGTACTTTGCTGATTTTAAGTCAAAGTATGACAAAAACAAAAGAAAAGAAAAACAGATTCTGGTTTTCTGAATGACGTGGGATTCACAGAGGAAGAATCATCCTTTTTATGGTCGTGGGAGAAATACTGAAAGCAGCCTTAGGAGTGAGCTGCACTAGCGTGCGGCTCATTGGGGAGGGGATACAAAAAGACGTCAGAGGAGGATTTGGGGGAATACAGAGGCTGTTGCCTCTTTCCTTTCACAGTCTTTTCTCTCTCTTGTTCTTCTTTTCGCCCTCTGTGTTTATACCCTTAGGTTTATTTATCTTTGTAGCATTTGGAAAATGGGCATATAGGTCCGTTGGTTTGTGTAATGTATAGAGAAGTACAAAAACATTATGTTTCATTGTGATATTTAACATTTCAGTTTTCCTTTTACAACCAGCTCCTTGTGTTCACGTGATTGCCCATGTTTCTCAAAATCTTCTTCATCCCTTCTTTTGTTTTCCTATGTTTGCTTTTCTCTAGACAAAGGCCTCTGGGATTTCAGAGCCGTTGATTTTGATGTAGATCTTAGCATTGTCATCCTTCAGCTGCTGCTCTTTGTAGAGAGTCCGTCGGTACCAGATTAGGTAGAGAGGCAGCAAGAAGCCCAGCATGCTTAGTACAAGGAGTCCAACATTGACCTGGAGGACAGTACAAGAATTAGCCACGCCCGAGGGCCTAATCTCTGATTGTGTTCATGTGTATGCATATCCATACCCAGAGTGGATCTCCACCCAGTGGTCCCATCATAGCCAAAAACAGTGGCTGCTGCAGCAGAGCAAACACAGCACTGACCAGAGACTGCATCCCTGTTAGACTTCCAAACAGTGACGAGGGATACCTGAGGACACACGAGACACGGCAGGTATCTTTAGCGTCTTAGTGTGAAGCTGCATCCACATATAGAAGAGTAAGATAATGTGTGTGTGTGTGTATGCATGTGTGAGACTTACACAGCAGCATAAAGGCCACCAACAGCAGAGTGGATGAATCCTCTCACAACCGTGTGTAAGATAAATGACACAATCTAGGGAAAGATAAAAGTATAAGAAATTATTATTCATTATCATTTCAGAAGATCAATCATCAAGTCTATTAGATTAAAAGATTAGCTACTCTTATCTATTTACTCTTACTTAGCTAACAGCCAAAACTGGTTAATCTTAGCTGTTAGCTTGTCTTAGTTATTAACACTTAGCTAACAACTAAGTATGGCTGATCTTGGCTAGCTGGTCTCAGCTATTAAAATTTGATTTTATCATTCAGGATAACTTTTCCATCTATTTCTAGAATTTCTGCTAAGCTAAGCAAAACAGTAAAAGTGTTCTGTTTTCACTTTGTCTTGCAAGAAAGTAAACATAAACACCTAAAAGTCTAACTGTACTGTGCAGTGTAGTATAAACTGCAGTCAACGGAGATTGCAATTTACATCTAGTGTTAAGTGTGAAAAATGTTGGTAAACTCAAGCTGGACTACTCACCTGCAGGGGGAGATTAGGCACTAAGCACGTAATCCCAAATCCAACCAAAAGCAAGTTTGTGAGCAAGAATGCTCGCAGTGCATTGGTCACCTTCTGAATCTTTCTGTCTCTGCGCTTGGTCTTTGTTTCTCCTCTTCAGGTTTGAAACAGAAAGAAGGAGAGGTCATTTTTCAGTCACTGATGTCACAATAACCTTTTATTTTTGGCTCTATTACCGGTAATCACATTCTGTGTCTAGAAATGTTGAGAATTTAACAAAGTGGGTTTGTCCTGCATTGCAAAGGATTGCAAGTATTTGACATACTTGTTTAAGGGTTCCTTGTCTTCTTGTCCGTCATCACAGTCCTTCAGCTTCCAGTCCATAATCTGACCAATCACAGGGGTGGTCATCAGGCAAAGTAGCTGCAGCACCCCGAAGATGGAAGAGTACAAACTCACTGAAAAAGAGATCAGAGTGAGCATACAATATAAAAGGATAAGGAGAAAGTTTAAAATACAGTGACAGTGTTTGAAAGAATATACCTATACTGACTTGGTTAATAGGACAGTATAGTTAATATTTAGCATCTAGGATTAGTGCTATATTGAGTGGAACAATGGTTGATGCAGGAGGGGGTAAGGTTGTGTGGGTTATTTCTATGGGCTAAGGGAGTAATGATACACGGAAACTGCATCACGTGAAACTGCTCATATGGTGTGCACCCTTTGCTGCTAACGGGCAAAGTTAGTTAATAAGTACAGTAAATAGTCATTCCGTGCAGATTAAAGCAGAATGAAAGATCAAAACAACAGCCAAGGTCAACTGATGAAATAAAATAACTAGCTATTAAAAAAGGTGCTATTCAATGCTGTGAATGGTACTATTCACAGCATTGAATAGTACTAATCACTGCTGTGATGCGTTTCTAAATTGTAAGTGTTTTTCA